CCCAGGTAATCAGTGTTACCACCTCTCACCCACAGGGAGGACTTGCCAACGGGGGATCAGGAGGGACTAGGGAGGATCACATCCTATTTCAACGAAAGCCCCCGAAACCTCCCCCATCTTCCCCACCGATACTTCCAGGAGCGCGGCCTAGAGTCAGCCACCACTCTCTAGGACCCAGCCTACACCCAATTTACCCTGAGTTTGTGATTAAAATTGCTTAAGGAAAGCCAAGCATGGGGGTTGTACTTTGGGGTGGAGGTGGATAGGGGTGTGTTCTGTGGCTGGACCCAGCTACTAACTTTTGCAAACTAAACAAGGTGGTAGGCACTGGTTGATTTATTTTATTTGTTTGTTTATTTATTTTTAAAATATTTTTATTTATAAGACTTTCTTTGAGCCAAAATGAGGACAGATGTCGGGGAGCAAGATCTCAAATGCTCCCTGATTTTATTTTAAAATACATATTTGTGTGATACAGAATTAGGAAGGAGCACATTGAGAAGCACCCTGCCCCAGCTCACTGGTGGGCTTACCTGGTATCTCAGTCTCTTTGGGCTGCAATAACAATATATCACAGACTAGGTGGCTTATTAACAACAGATATTTATTACAGTTCTGGAGGCTGGAAGTCCAAGGTCAGGGTATCAGCATGGTCATGTTCTGGTGAGGGCTGTCTTTTGGATTGCAAACTGCCAGCTTCTCACTGTGTCACCACATGGGGGACAGGGAAGGATCTCTATAGGGTCCCTTTTATAAGGGCACTAATTCCATTCTAGAGGGCTCCACAATCATGACCTAGTTAACTCCCAAATGTTCCACCTCTTAATACCATCATCTTTAGGGGTCAGGATTTCAACATAGGAATTTCAGGGGGTGGGGGACACAAACATTCAGATCATAGCAGGTGCCTCCTAGGTCCTTCCAGAGATAACCCATGTTACAAACATGTATGTACAGGTACATTCTTTCCCAAAGTTGTTTTTTTTTCTTTCCTCTTTTTTTTTTTTAAAATACAAATGGAAGCAAACTATACCCTAGACAGTGCACATTCTTCTTTGTGCCACATATATCTTGGAGGTAATTCCAAATGAATATCTAAAGACCTTCCTCATTTGCTTTAGAACTAAAGAGCCCTCTGTGGCATGACTGTCCTGTAGTTTGTTTAATGCCTATTAATAGACACTGAGTTATTGCTCAGCTTGTTTTTAAGCCTGTATAATAGGGAATGGTGGTGATGGGCCATGATTTCTCATGCGCAACTTTGTAGGATAAATTCCCAGAGGTGGGGTTGCTTGGTTAGAGAATCTATGTGTCTGTAATTTGGAGAAGAGATATTTTCAAATTGCCCTCCATGGAGGCTTGTATCTAATGGCACTCCCACCAGCAATGTAAGTGAGCACTGAGGGCAGGGAATGAACATGACCATTTCAGCAGTGCCTGGACACAGGAGGCATCCATTCTTGCTCTGTTGAACTAAAAGGGACCTTGCCCCTGTTTTCCAGGTGAGAATAAGGAGGAGGAGGATTAATAGTAGTGCTTACAACCCAAATCCTGAATCTGAGTCCAATTCTTTGCTTTAGGGATTTGGGGGAATGAGGAGGAAGGAAGGCCGCTTCTTGTGTGTCAGGGAGCTTCTTGCTGGTTGCACACAGTGGGAGAACACACCTCCTGCCCTGGCCAGCCCTTCTGACCCCACCCCTCACCCCCCATTTCTGACACCTGAATATTCCAAGTTACAGGCCATTGTCATTTACACACTAGTGTGAATCAGTCCCTAATTCTAGGACCTGAGGATTAGAAGTGAGACATCACTACGGTAACTATCTGGTAACTATCTTTCCTACCTGTTTCCCCAAGAAGCTGCCGCATCAGTTGTTCTAGTTGGTGACTATTTGGGGGGAAAGGTGAAAATGAGCTAGAGTTCAGTTGTTCTCTAATAATCTGGAGAGGAGTGAGTCTCTGGGGCTCCAGGGAGGAGGGACAGGGCTCTAGAAACTAGAAGGCAGAGAGGGAGAAAGGTGGAGCGCTGAGTGTCTAGAGAGGGCTCTGCAGGGGGGTGTGGGATAAAGGGACACCTCTCCCATCTAAGGCCAGGTGCTCTCTAGGGGCCGCTGCCACTTCCACTGCCACTCCCGCTGCCTGCAGCTTTCAGGATCCAGGTGTGAAGGTGGCGGGAGCGGAGGAAGGTGGTTTCCCGGGCCCTTCGACCCTGTCTGCGATTCGGAAGCACTGAGATGGACATGTTGAGGCAGTGACCAGCACCAGGAACTGCCACTGGCAGTGCATAGGCCAAAACCCAGCGGCAAAGGTTCACCCTGTCAGTGAAGGTCTGGGAGAAGAGGAGGTGGAATTAGGGCCCAAGTGGGTGAAGTGCAGACATCCTGGGGATGTGACCATCTGGTGCAAGCAGAGGGTGATTTCTGGACCGTAGCTTTGGGAAGGGAAATGCCAGGAGTTCCATTGAGGGTAGAGGCCAGAGGGGTGGTCTTGGGGGGTGGGCAATTCTCGCCTCTGGGTCTTCCTGGGAGCCTGGGGGAGGGTCCACAGTGGGGGCAGGGACTTGGGGAGGGCCAGTGAGTAGTTTTTACTGGGTCCCAGGTGCTGGGGCCTTGAGGAAGGTGCTTGGGCCTCTGGGTCTTCAGGCTGTGGATGGGCCTAGAGCAGAGACAGTTCCTTGGGAAGGGCAAAATTGGACTCTCTGCCTTCAGGAGGCTACAGGCTTATGCACATGTATTCCAATGTGGAGGTTGAGCTGTAGAAGGGGGAACGATGGGAGTGGGGACTTTGGAATGCCAGTCCAGACTGGGTCCTACGCAGGTTAAGACAGCACATAGTAAGGGGAGGTTTCAGCCTCCTCCCCTTGCCCTCTGTCCCATGCTCACCTGCCCATAGATACTGCAGCCAGGGTTGCAGTCCCTCTTTTCTAGGAGTGGGAGCCAAGTTGGGCTGCAGGTGATATCACTTTTGCAGGTGGCAAACCTGGGGTTGGTGTGTGGAGAGAAGAAGGTGGGTAAAGGCTCTGCAACTGCATTCCAGTGGTATTCCTGCTCTCCAAGGATCAATCCTGGTCTACGTCCCTCCACCAGATTCAGGCCCTGCCTCCTAGTACCATACCCCTACAAACACCACCCTCCATATTTCACCTCACCCCATATTCTCTACACATATCCAAGGCTCTGTCACCACTGGCCGCATTCCTGCCCATCACAGACCATCTGCTCCAGGCCAGCCCCTTACATTCTCAACTCTTAGCTTCTGTTTTCAGTCAAGAGGCCCCGTCCCTTTATTTAAAAACTGGGTCCATGGGAGGCCAGCCTCTGTACTGCCAATCTAAAAAGCCAGGCGCTCTACAGGCTCTGCCCCTTTCTGCTTCTCCTCAAAACACTAGGCTTCATGAACTTGGCTGCGTTGGAGGTAGGCCATATCCCTTTAAACACTATGGCCTGCAAGCTGCAGATCCTGCCTTCTACCCCACCCAAAACATAGGCCATTCTTCCCATACCCCACCTCTCCTACCAGGCTTGGCAGAGCTCCGGGCAGAGCAGCTGTGTCTGGTGTATCCCCAGTAGCAGGAAGTGGAAGCGACTGCGAAGGGCAGCTTGGAGGTGTCCCAGGAAAGATTCACACCTGGACATCAGGAGAAACAGGCCCAGATGGTCAAGATGCAAGGGGGCTCTGGAGCAAAAAGCACAAGGGATCACTGAGGGGGGGGAAGTGCTGTACTTACCCAGGGCTAGGCTCCCTACAGCCCTCTGAGAGGATTCCAGGGTCCAGTGCCTCTGGTGTGTCCATCTCTGAGGGACAACAAACAGGACAATGAAGAAAGGAACTCCTTTTAGTTGGGGTCTTGGATCCTTGGGTAGGGTTGACCTCAATTATATAATTCTTCCCAAACATAAAACTTAAGACACTTTGCTTTGGGAGCAATGCATCTTCAAGTAACTAATCATTTATCACAATCAGCTAATTATTTTTATGTCCCTGGTAGTGGTATAAATTCTCAAATGCTTACATATGCCCATTTACAACACCTGTATGAAATAGGTCTATTATTTCTCCCACTTATTAGTGGCTCACATGAGGCCCAGTGACTTGCCCAGGGTCACACAAATCTCAGAAAGTCTGACTCTGTTATTTTTGTTGTTATTAATTCTCACCTGAGGATATTTTTTCCATTGCTTTTTCGGAGAAAGTGGGAGGGAGAGGAGGGGAGAAACATCGATGTGAGAGAGACACACCAACTGGTTGCCTCCCACACTCACTCCAACCAGGGATGGGGAGTGAACCTACAAGCCAGGTACATGCCCTTCACCTGGAATTGAGCTCGAAACCCTTCAGTGTGCGGGCTGATACTGCAACCACTGAGCAACACCAGCCAGAGCCTATTCTCTTTAACCACCATTCTTCATCAGTAGCCCAGGCTGCCTACCCTGGTCACCCCAAGTTCCTGTTATAAGGAAATTCTGTCATTGCTATGTTAGAGTGTGGGTTCTTGGGAGTTGGGGGCTAGGCAGGGCCTGGAGTGCTCACCTGCTAGGTGCAGCTGGCCTGTACCCAGATCTGCCAGCCTATGGTGTCTCTGGGACCTAACGGGCAGTGGACCGCTCCCTCCACAGGCTCCTAGCAGGATCCATGCCAGGGTCAGTTGCGGGGCCCAGGCCAGGCCCCTGGGTCGAGTACAGCCCCTGCATACCATGTCCACCTGAGAAGTCAGCTGGGTTATGGGGTGAGGTTTGGCTGTCCTTTTCTGGGAGCTTAGGGTGATACTTTTTAAAAATATATATATATTGATTTCAGAGAGGAAGGGAGAGGGGGAGAGAGATAGAAACATCAATAATAAGAGAGTTGTCATTGATCAGCTGCCTCCTGCATGCTCCCAACTGGGGATTGAGCCCGCAACCCAGGTATGTGCCCTGACTGGGAATGAAACTGCAATCTCCTGGATCCTGGGCCAATGCTCAACCACTGAGCCACACCCGGCCAGGCAGGGTGATACTCTTGATGCACACTCAGGAGATGGTGTCAGGCAGAGCAGAGACTGGGCAGTTGAGGAGGCATTGGCCAAAGACCCTAAAATCCCAGGGGGCCAACAAGGCCTGCCTCTGACCCAGGACCCCCACATCAGGTTCATGTCCCCTTCAGCATTTCAGGCCCAAGTGCTCCCCAGTTTGACCACGCTGCCCCACCCCCCTCATATCCAGCAGGACTTCCCACCTTTTCAAGTCTCGGGTAACCCCCTCCGTCCTCAGAACTAAGGGAACATCCCCAGCTCTTTCCATGTCCTCCTGTCCAGTAAGTCCTCCCTATTTTCTACCCAGTCTCCTCCCTCTCAATCCCCACTGGCCCCTCTCATGGTCACCTTCTCTCAACCTACAATCGGCTTAGGGGCTGTCACCTAGGGCTGGGCCTCTGGAGCCAAGCTTGGCTGTGGCAGGACTCGGGTTCTGCCTCTAGGGTCCAAAAACTCCCAGGTCAGGAAACTGGGAGCCTGTGGAGACAAGATGATTCCCTCCCCTCCTATGCCCCCTTGGGGCCACCTCTCACCTGTTAGCGGAACTGGGGTCTGAAGCGCTGCTGAGACACCTCAGGGTTAAGTCCAGGAAACGGTGGTACTAAAAGGGGCGTGGTTTGATGTAGGGGAGGTGTTTCCCACCGCCCCGCCCCCTGCTCCAGCTGACCAATGGCTAGAGAACCTGAGACTGGTGTATATACATACAACCTTGTCTTTGTATGTATATACACCAGTTAATGGTGTATATGTTGCGGTTGCAGCTTAAACTCTGGATCTGTATGGGTGGGGAGTATGTGTGTGTGTCGAATGAGGCTGTGCTTGTACAATGTGTGTGTTGTGTGTTGAATGTATGTGTGTTGTATGCAGTTTATATGTGTCTCTTGGTTGTGTGGTTGTGTATGTGTTCAAATTCTGGACTGTATGTATCCCAAGCCAAGTATGTCCAGTTGAGTAAGAATCATAATAAATGTAGGGGGGGAAAGAAATGTAGGGGAGGGGAGTGTTGGATCAGGTTAGAATGGGTGTCCTGTGAAAATGTTGGATCAGTGAGTGGATAAGGTCCGTGGATAAAGGTTGTTGATCATAAATGTTGACTATGAGTGAACAAAGGGATGTTGTCCTGTGTAGAAAGGGTGTGTCTACATCTGAAATACATATGTGTGTCCCTTTGTCATTTCTGTAAATGTGTGTCCCTTGAAAACATTTCCTCCATTCATTCAACAAACATTTATTGAGCATCTGCTCTGTCTCAGATTCTGGGGATGCAACAGTGACAAAGAAATGAAAATCTCAATCCTTATAGACCTGACATTTTAGTAGGAGAGCCTGATAAGAAAAACAGCGCTGCAGTTGGTATGTGTGTGTCCATGTGTTGTTTTGGGAGGATAATGTGTCTGTATGTTGGATGAGAGTTTGTGTGTAGCTGAGGTTCCTTTGGTTTTGGGACTACGTGTGTGTGCTTGTGTTTGTTGAGTGTATGTGTTGTTTGTGTGTGTTTGTTCTTGCTGAATGTATGTTTGCATTTTCTAAGTATGTGTTTGCAGTGTGTGAGTTTATGTGTATATGTGTTTGTGTGTGTCTTCTGAGTATGTGTTTGTATGTTTGCAGATTGTGTGTGGTTGTGGAGTGTTTGTTTGCAGAGTGTGTAGATATGAGTATGTGAGGCTGTGTTTGCTAGGCATGTGTTGGTATATTATTGTTTGTGTGTGTGTTTGCAGAATATATATGTGTACATGTGTATGCGCCTATGCTTGTAGAGCATGCATATGTGTTTTTGTGAGTGGTGGTCACTACTACAAATCTCTCTCTCTTTCTTCTCAGGCTAGTGCAGAGTTTTTGTCTGTTTTACTGACTGCTGTACTCCTAGATCCCAAAACACTAATTTGCACATAGTAAGTGCTCAATACGAGTTGAGTAAATGAACCAATTAGGAGGCACTGTCTCTGGGTCCCTCTGTGGGCATCCATTGATATCCTGGAGGTGTCAGCAACCAAAACCTAATGGACCTAGCCTTCTCTGGCCCATCTTGGGTTATTCCAGGGCGCTCATAGGTCTGTGCCTTCCGCCAGCCATTCCTCTCCCCGACCTCAGCCCCCAACCCTGTGCGCAGATTTCAGCACCGTGGACAGGAGTGCCGCGCCGATATCAGCACCACGGATAGCTCCCAAGACTGCAGGCCTGAAAAAGGGGCGACAGGAGCGGAGTCCGGTCCTTGGACACAGGTGTAGGAAGAATTGGACTCAACAAGATGGCAACACAAACATGCCGACCAACAGAGACAGAGAAAAACAGACAGATAACTTGGGCAAAGGTGCAGAGATGAGACAATTGCCCAGGGAACACTCAGACCTAGACCTCTCTGTCTCCTTCTTTGACAAGCAGGTGTCGCTCCAGTTATGGGTCAGAACTATTGGGAAGAACCCTTCCCAACTTGTGTCCCAATGCCTAGACTTGGCACGAGAAGCTCTTCGATGTTTTCCATTCTCTGGGAAGCATGGTTGGTATGGCTTCAACTGTGGGAACACTCCAGAGGGGGGTTTGAAAATCGCTTCAGCTTCCCAACTCCCCAAAGACCAGCTAATCACTCCTATAAATACAACCTGGCTTGGCCTAGCTCCTTAATCCTGACGGTGAGGGAGGGGGTCACTACAGGGGCTGAAGAGTCTGTCTGGGAAAGGGGGGCAGTATATGGATGTAAATGTTATTCTGAGGGACCATGTCCTGTGAGGATGGGTCTCCCTGTTGAAAATGTCACTCTAAAATGTCTCTCCTTGGAATGTGGGGGTCTCGTGGGTGGGGACAATTTCCCACAGATAATATGGCATTTAGGGGGTCTTTCATTAGGAGGTATCCTCACCAGGCTCCCCACATGAAATGTCTGTCACCCATGGAAATTTTTCTCTGCAGAAATGTTTCTTCCTGGGGGAGGGGGACTTTTGAGAGGAGGCCTTATCTCTCATAGACCATCTGTCTTAGGAATGATTTTCAGGGCGAGGGGAGAGTGACTGGAGAGGACTTCCCTGTGGAGACTGTGTCCCCCATGGGAATGTGTCTCCCTGAGAGGGTCCCTGGGGGACTCGCATAGAAAATATGTCTGTGAGGATGTCTCTCAAGGTATTTTTTGGGTTGGGGGGGACTACCCATGAAACTCGTGTCTCCATGAGCATGTCTGTCCCCTGGGGTGTCTCCATATAGGGGCCTGTCGATAGCTTGGCCTCTCAGGTTATCTGGAGGCTCCATCTCCCCCAGCGCGGGGAACCTCGGCCAGCCAGCTGAAGCCCAGCTTGGGCGCCCAGACGTAATGACGGTGCCAGACCCGCCCCATTT